GAAGAGATGACAAGAGAAGAGAAGAGAAGAGAAGGGAAGAGATGAGAAGCGAAGAGAAGAGATGAGAAGAGAAGAGAAGAGATGAGAAGAGAAGAGAAGAGAAGAGAAGAGAAGAGATAAGAAGAGAAGAGAAGAGAAGAGAAGAGAAGAGAAGAGAAGAGATGAGATGAGATGAGATGAGATGAGAAGGGAGGGGAGAAAAGGAGCAAAAGAAAGAGGCTGAGGTGGAGTAAGGTGAGGTCAGAAGAGACAAGAGAGGAGACGGGAGGGGGGGGGGGGGGGTAGAGCAAGGGGTGGAGAGGAAGAGAGGGTTGCGACAAGAGAGAAAAAGAAAGGGCGAGGTGAGGAGGTTGTGTAACAAGAGAAGAAAACAGTGGAGCATGCAAGGAAGAATCTCCCGTGCTAATCTCTGCATGCAGATGGCCGATGAGCCAACTCTAAAGATATGTAGAACTAATGTACAACTATGCCTAAAATGATGCTAAGTCATGATCTGATGTAGCACACCATCATCCTTAAAACTTCACTGATCAGTCAAAAAGGTCCCTTTGGACAGTACTCGCGGCGCTACATTCCGACTCTTGACTCGAAGTGGGAGATGCGCTAGTATTCGATCCACACTGACGCCCAGCCGCATACTGTAACGCCTCCGGACTGTTTTCTGGACTCATCGCGGCACCTTGGACAGGATTACCGCAAGACAGAATCTCAGGGCCATCAGGTCCCATGACATATTGCTCTTTCGGGTCGTATTCTTCGCCAAACGCGTTTCGCAAGCATTGTGAACAATCGAATGCCATCCCTTCCTCCAGGCCGCCGTAACAAGACATAAGCAGCAGACTTGATTTCCCATTTGGCAAATCTCCGTAAAAATAATTCGTCATTGCGTTCATGGATCGGAGCGAAAGAAGAAGAGGGTGTGGTGCCGTGTGAAGCTCTATATGTTGCTCTTCCTGACTGTCTCCTTTGAACGTGATCACGCGAAAACATGGCAGTGCCGCCGCCACTGGCTGCCCAGTTTCAGACTTAAGTCCCTCGAAAGCCTTGACTTTCTTCTCCTTTGTCAACTTATCCCTGAGCTTATCGCACCCTGAGACTTTTTTGGAAAGGAAACGCCTGGAGTCTTGGTTCCAGAATCTGTTTTCTTGCAGCAGCGTTTCCAGACTTTTGGGAGCTTCGCACTGAATCAAACAAACGTCCTTGTAAAGAATTTGAATGTGCTGTAGGGCCTGATGTAGCACCTCCCTGTCATCTAGAACATGTCATTGGTACGGTCAACACATTCAATGCTACAGTACCTTGATACAAGGTGGGAAGCAAATACTTCTGCTTCATCGGACGGCAGATTTCCTTGACGAGAGACTCTTCGTCCAAATGATGTTGTTCGTACTCTGAGTTCTTCAGAACAGCTTCAGTATCAAGTTGAAAGAAAGTTTCTTTGTAGACGTTTTTGTCAACACCGATCAAAATCGCTTTGTACCCTTCGCCTTTCCACTCGAATTGCTGCTGAGGAGATAGGAGTGGAAGCAACATCAGAGCTGCTTTGCTGTCCAAATGTTCGCGTTGGCCACCAAGGAAGATAAAGTTGAAAGGAAGGTCCGCAATGCCTGGTATGTGGTTGTTGTCCTCATCATAACACCCAAACAAAACCTTCTTAGCGACGTCATCCGACCGCAAGCCCTCTGGAAGAGCATTCTGCACAATAATCCCCCAGTCGATTCGACATGCAGCACTGTTTGGGACCAAGTGCGATCGCTCTACCAAGCCTGAGTTAACTTTACAGCCCTCCAGGTCAAAAGCTTTCTCCCTGTCATGTCCCTTCTTGCAATCTTTATCGGCGGGTAAGTTCTGCGCGGCCTGAAGAAAAGCCAGACAAACGTTTTGCCGAAATACTGCAGGAGCCTTTGGAAGCTGGAGAAAGGTAGAGCAAAGGTCGTCAAAGTAACCAAATCGTAGATTGCACGCTATTTGTTTCGTGAGCTCAGATACGTTTAAGGCTCGAGTCTTGTCGTCGTACTCTTGTTTCTCGCGCCTTAAAGTAGTGTTATCTTGCTCTAAAGCTCGAGTCTTCTCGTCGTACTCCTGTTTCTCGCGCCTTAAAGTAGTGTTATCTTGCTCTAAAGCTCGAGTCTTCTCGTCGTACTCTTCTCTCAAGGCTCGAGTCTTCTCGTCGTACTCTTCTTTTAAGGCTCGAATCTTCTCGTCGTACTCTAAAGCTCGAATCTTGTCGTCGTACTCCTGTTTCTCGCGCCTTAAGTAGTGTTATCTTGCTCTAAAGCTCGAATCTGTCGTCGTACTCTTCTCTCAAGGCTCGAATCTTCTCGTCGTACTCTTCTTTTAAGGCTCGAATCTGTCGTCGTACTCTTCTCTCAAGGCTCGAATCTTGTCGTCGTACTCTTGTTTCTCGCGCCTTAAAGTAGTGTTATCTTGCTCTAAAGCTCGAGTCTTGTCGTCCAAGGCTTGAAACCTCTTGTCGTTATCTAGCCTCAGAGCTTCCAGCTGTCTGCCTAGAGCCTCCAGCGCTCCCTCCGACGCTGCCATGAGCAAGTTTGTGGACCAGGATGCTGCCAGGGGTACCTCATCAGAGATTTGGGGGTAGGGGGTAGAAAAAAGGCGGGAAAATATCCGTTGACTCCTCATAACGGAAGCTTTGCTGCCGCCGGTAGCCTTTCTTTTAAGTTAAAAATCACAGGACAATCGGTAATGTTCAGAGCAGGGCATGCAGTTGAAGGAAGCGATATATTTCTTGTACTTTCCGGCAGCGCACGGGACGCATCCATTGGAACCATCGAAGTTGGTGTAGCCAGCTACGCACTGGCAGTCTAAGAGCCAGCAGCGGAAGCGGTGAAGGCGGGACAGCGATTGCAGGCCTTGTCCAAAGCGTATGCTTCAGAATAGGACAGGGAGCGCAGACGTCGCCAAGGTTGCTCTTGATCGTTGCAGGCCCACAGGTACGCGGATTGCCAGGCCCGAGAAGTCTGCGTCCATCTTATCGGGCTGACCAGCATCGTAGATATACGTCTTTGTAGTATCCAACAGGGCAAAGGCAAAGCTCCAGATCCGTCACACCTTCAAAGGAATGCAGGCCGGCAGGGCAGAGCAGGGGAGATGCGCTGTAGCACGGCATGCAGTAGCCGTCATCGGGCAGAAGGTAGGAGCCCGTACCGCACTGACAGTCGGTGATCTTTGTCGAGCCCATCGCGCTGTAAGATCCGACGGGGCATTTCTGGCAGCTTCCGGCGCCCCTTTCGGACTTGTAAGTGTTAAAAGGGCAGGGAGCGTAGCCGTTGGTCGTCAGAAGGTAATCCGGGCAAGGCACGCATGTTCCATTGGCCGCCGCGCGCCGTACTGTAGAATCCAGAGCCGCAGACGCAGTCGCTGAACGAAGTGCTGCCGGAATAGTAGGTGGAATACGGCGCTGGGCAGGATTCACAGCCGTAATTTCCGATCACGCTCTCGCTCGATGGGAGGCTGCAGCAAGGGGAGGAGAACGCTTCCAACGCTTCCCGTGAAACCGTTTGGGATGCTTCTTGCATGCTCTGACGCCCATTCAGATGTCTTGAGCCAGTGGGATTACGGGGAGGTTCAATGTAGGAATTCAAGCCTAGACGGGAGACTGACGGGAGAGCAAGCTAGTACGAGGCGAGCGGAGACTCTGTGGAGGACAGAGGCGGGAAGTAGCTCGTAGGTTTGTAAAACTTCAAGGTTGCCTTCCCTCTTCTTTCCTGGCGTGTCAAGTTGTCACATTCACTGTACGGTATTATTGCGGACCTGGCTGGTACGGTGATCACAGTCATGGAGTGAAAAGACATACCGTGATCTGATCGGACTCGGAGGGTTTGCTTCGCCGAGGCCGTTGACTCGTCACAGGCCGTCGGGCTCGGTTGTCATGATTCTGCCTGCCGCGTGCGTTCACAGGTAGCTGACGGACGATGGAACGAATGAGACTTGTGTTGAAGTTCAGGATCATTGAGTTTACTCGTTTACATTCAGGTTATCTACATATGATAAATGCCGTGACTTAATACAATTCCTTTCTCAAATCTCAAAGTCTAGAACCAAGTCGCTCCAGAGGGAAAGACGAAAGGAGGAAAATGATGCTGTAGACGAGAATGTGTGTCAGAGAAGAGCATGAATGCAAAGAAGCAAGAGAGAAGGTTCCTTGTCTGCTGGCAAGGTACGAGTTGAGGCTGGGCCCAAGCCATGTGAAAGAGTGTGATGCGAGGAGACTATGATGAGAAGAATGTTGCAGTCAGTCTTGCAGTGCAGAAGTTGGTGAAGCCGCCAAGGAGCATGAACTAGGATTCACAGAGCAGTCTTAGTGGGATCCTTCGCTGTCTTGTGCTAGTGACTGCATCCTGGGGATTTCTGACGGCACTGTCACGACCTCTCGGAGGCTTCAGAGCCTGACCTTGCTCCTGCTACAGGTCTTCCCTCGACCCTTCGAGCCCGTCCTAGGGGAGTACAAGAGCTTCGACGCGAGCGTCATGAAGTTGCACCACCAGTGGGCTAGAGCAGCATGCATCGATTTCTTCGCAGTCTCCTGGGGAGGGGACGGGACGCGGGCGCCAAACAAGCAGGGAAGTGTGGATGGGCAATGTAAGCTAGTGGACAGCGAGGGCAAGCAGGAAGAGAAGAGATGAGAAGAGAAGAGAAGAGAAGAGATGAGATGAGATGATATGAGAAGAGAAGAGAAGAGAAGAGAAGAGAAGAGATGACAAGAGAAGAGATGAGATCAGATGAGATGAGAAGAGAAGAGAAGAGAAGAGAAGAGAAGAGAAGAGATGAGAAGAGAAGAGATGAGAGATGAGATGAGAAGAGAAGAGAAGAGAAGAGAAGAGTGGAGATGAGATGAGAAGAGAAGAGATGTGATGAGATGAGAAGAGAAGAGAAGAGAAGAGATGAGAAGAGAAGAGATAAGATGACAAGAGAAGAGAAGAAAAGAGATGAGAAGAGAAGAGATGAGATCAGATGAGATGAGAAGAGATGAGAAGAGAAGAGAAGAGAAGAGAAGAGATGAGATGAGAAGAGAAGAGATGAGATGAGATGAGAAGAGAAGAGAAGAGAAGAGAAGAGATGAGATGAGATGAGAAGTGAAGAGATGTGATGAGATGAGAAGAGAAGAGAAGAGAAGAGATGAGAAGAGAAGAGAAAAAGATGACAAGAGAAGAGAAGAGAAGAGAAGAGAAGAGAAGAGATGAGATGAGAAGAGGAGAGAAGAGATGAGAAGAGAAGAGATGACAAGAGAAGAGAAGAGAAAAGATGACAAGAGAAGAGAAGAGAAGAGAAGAGATGAGAAGAGAAGAGAAGAGATGAAAAGAGAAGAGATGACAAGAGATGAGATAAGATGAGAAGAGGAGAGAAGAGATGAGAAGAGAAGAGAAGAGACGAGAAGAGAAAAGATGACAAGAGAAGAGAAGAGAAG